ACCCCAGTCCTTAAATAGGGGAGTCCTCAAGTTTATATCTATTCTTTTTTCTTTCACTACACCATCTCACTGAATTGCCTCACTTATTGCTTTAGCTCAATTACCATCTTCTTAAAAAATTTTGTTTTTCAATTATAGTTGCTATTTAATTTTTTTTATATTAGTTCCAGGTGTACAGCACAGTGTTTAGGCCATTATATAATCAACTAACATCTTCAAGAGGTGACTCTCAAATCTTTATTTCTAGCCCAGATCTCTCTCCTGACTTACTAACCCAAATTTATTGACTCACACTGGACGTATTCCCATAGGTGTCATCAGACAGGTACATCAAACCTAACCCCCCCCCAACAAAAAAAAGTCCTCATCTTATTATTTTTCTGCATCTCCATGCTCCCTATCTTAATAAATGGAATCTTCCCCTACCCTTATCCAAGCTAGAAGCTCCAGCAACATCTTGACTCCTCCCTCACTCCTTATACAGGGTCCGGCAGAAGGAACACCTGCCTGAGTGAGGTTGGTAGGGGAATAAGATGGGTATAATAATATATAGTTTTAATTTGAACATTCCACCTAAAATGTCATATGGTGTCCTTGAGTGTGACATGTTACAGAATTACATGCTTATAATTTTGTAATAAAAGATTTTGTAATTAAAAAAGGGGTGTTATTTGTTCTGGGCCTTGTATTTAATCACTTACAAAATGTGGTCGATTTCACCTCATCTTTCAAGTCTACCATCTCCTTCCTATGCCCATGGCCCTTATAACCTCTTGTCTGAACTTTTTATAAAGTACCAAAAATGGGTTCTGGCCTCTAGTTTCTTCCCTTGCCAAACAAACTTTGGGCACATCAGTTACACCAGCATATAGTTTAGTCAAGAGGTTTTACAAGGTGTGTTATGAAAGCCCCTGTTCTTCCTCCAAAACTCTTAATTTTCTGCTCCACAGAAGCAACCTTTTCCAGTACTTCAAGTGGACTCTTGTTACTTCCTTTCTTTAAATAAAATGTGTGTTGCTTCTTGACATTTCTGCTTTAAGCAGTATCTAAGGTCTCCTCACTGCAGAGGATTTAGCTTTGTCTCTCACACCACACCCCCCTCCCCATCTCCACTACACCCCCTTCTTTTAATCTCCCCAGCGCAGCAATATCATAATTTTAATTGGATCAGTGTTTACATTATTATGGTTATGTCAACACTATTTATTTTACAGTTAAGCCAAGGAGGCAATGATTACTCGTTCCTACACAGTACTTCATTTTCCTTGGTGTTAATAACGATCCTGATTGTTTTCTTGGCTTAGTTTTCTTTGTATTTATCACTAATCCAACATCCAACTCTACTCCTCTATTGTAAATTTGCTCAGACTCATAGCTATTCCGTCTATCAGTTTCATCCGGAGGAAACCTCTTCGGACTAGCTCCAGTCGGGGCTGGCCGCCTGCCATCCATCCCAGCGGGAAGCATAGCTGTCATCCTGGGATTCTGCTTCATCATCATCCTAGGAATTGCCTTTGTCTCCCTCTTATGGTGGGTGCTTTTACCTAACTCCTTCACCTTTTTTCCTTGGGCCTACTCCCTGAGCTTTGGTAGGGCACAAATTCTGATAGCTACCTGAGAAAGAGTGCAAGGCAGAGAAAATTGTCAACACCTTGCACATCAGAAATGAGTTATTTTACCCAATTTACACTTAATTGACAGTTCCTTAGTGTAAGAGGGGTGGACCTCCCAAAAAAACCCCAGAATTTATGTATTAAAAATTGTGTACTAATTCTTACATGTTGAGATTTTAGTCACGTGTAAGTTCTCTCCATTTGATGCACTACACCTACTGAGATTTTTTTTTTTTCCACTGCTCAAAACAGTTTTTGAACTCACTGATTTTGATGCCTTTCAGTGTCTGCCATTTTTTGTTTCACCTCTTCCACATAGACAAAATATTACCCTTGGAGGATATTTTTCATTCAGGGAAACAAAAAAAAATTTACTCCGTTGAGAATGGGTGAATAGGGAAGGTGGGGCCTAGGGGTCATGCCACTTTGGGCCAAAAACTGCTAAACATTCAGCATGGTGTGGACTGATGGACTTGTAAATCTGCCATCACGAAATGGGCAAATGCATTGAGTCTTCAAAAAAAAAAAAAAATGCACTGAAGCCAAGCGCAGCCTCTCACAGCACCACTAGCTGGCACACTGATACAGATGGGTTCCTCGACCACTCACCTAGCGGGGAAGCCCATACTACAAGGGGTCGCCCTCCAGAAGACAGTTCCGTTTTTGGGGGGCGGTCCCCCCCCTTGTGGAATTCTAGACTGAAATTATTTTACCTCAGAATTTTGAAGGCATTGCCCCAATGTCTTCTTGATTCTTATGTTGTTGTTGAAAAGTGTAATGTCATGCCCTGGCCGCTGTGACTTGGTTGGTTGGAGCATGGTCCTGTAAACCGAAAGGTAATGGGTTCAGTTCTTGGGGTCAGGGCACACGCCTGGGTTGTGGGTATCCCCTGTCACAGTGTATATGAGAGGCAATCGATTGATGTCTCCCTCTTGCTTCAATGCTTCTCTCCTCCCACCCTCTCTCCCCCTCCCCCTCTCTCTAAAATCAGTGAGCATGTCCTCAGGTGAGGATAAAAAAAATTTTTTTTAATGTAATATTTTAATTTCGAGACTTTGTGTGAACTTGTTTTCTTTTATTTTTCCTCTCACATTGCTAATTTTATAAGATCTTTCTTTGAACCTGATGTTCTCATTCACTGTTCTGGTATTTAATGAACTCTCTCAATTTGGATACTCACATCTTTCAGATCTACAAAATTATATTGAATTATTAGTTCAATGATTTCCTCTCTTTATTCTCTCCATACCCACCCCCCTTTTCATCCCTATATCATTTTTGCTGCAGTCGTTGGGAAATGTTTTCAAGTTTATTTTCCATACTTTTTATGTTGTTTTTAAATTTCTGATATAATATACTTGATTTCTAAATGCTCTTTAATGGTGCTTTTAAAAAATAATATACCATTCATGTTTTACTGATGTACTATCTTCTTTTATTTCTCTGGGAATATTAATGAGAGTTTTCTTTCTTTCTTTCTTTCTTTTTTTTTTTTACGTTTTCTTCCCCATCTCTTCCCATCTGTTCAATGCAAGCAACTCTGTTTCTCCCCAGTTTCTTTTTGTCCTGATTTTTTCCCCCTTTTAGTCTCCATCATTAATGTTACAAGCTTTCTTCAGATTGTTGAGGACCCCAGGCTGCCCGGTCCTATTTAAAAGAGAGATGCGAGAAAACTGTCTGAAGCTCTGAGCATGTAGACAGAGCTTGCCAGCTGAGGGCTGCACTGTGGAGCTGTCCGCGTTTCCTCCACAGGATGAATCTCTAGGGTGATTCTTTTCGACTCTTGGCTTCTCCAGAGAGGACTCTTCCGATTTTCCACCTGGAGAGATAGCCTGACACCTATATTCTGAGCCAAGAGGGAGATGAAGGTGGGGGATGTGTATCTCAACATTTACAAGGTTTATTTTTACTTAATTCTCTTCTTCTTCTCCTCCTCCCCACCTTTACCCAAACATGGAACTGCTGTATTTTCCAGGAACGTCTCTAACCTTGTACCGGCGAGGGAGGGGGGAGTTAGCCCACCACCTTGAGGAGTGGGGAAGGGTCTAAACAAACTTCCAATTCATTCTGCTATTTTTGGTCACACTTTTATTTGCACTTTCAGAGTACCCAATGCCACCAATTCCCAAGCCATTGAGAGGTTCTGTGAATGTATTAATATATCACTTTGGTGCTTGGTTTTCATCATTATTACCTTAGGATTCAGCTTTTTTTTTTTTTTTTTTTAGGTCAGCCCCATCAGTTACCTCCTTGACAAAAACTTTCCAGTTCTCAAAACATTATTGCTACTGTAATCTCCTCTCTTTATTTGCCTTTTTGGATCTATTCGTCTTTTTGTCTTGAAAAAATCTCCTTAATTTTAATGGCATTTGGGGAGGGAATATTACTAAATTCAACCCACATATTTAAACAGAAGTCTGTCAAATTTTGCAAGTAGGTATCATCTAGCTCCATTTTCTCTTTCCTCTTTTTCAACTCCATCCCAACCGAATTTCAGTTTTATGGATTTTTTTTTCTGTGTCCTTGTTGATTAAACTTCATTCAGAAAAGAATTTAACAAGTTAATTCACTCTGAGGTGTAATGAATGACAGAGTTTAATGTGTTTGTCATCTTTCCCGAGTATTTTAGTTTTAGCGGGAATGGAATTTTTTATTTGGCTTAAGCCAAAGGAATAAAGAAATGGAGTTGCAGACACCCTTATATACAGGTTTCAGAGGCCAGGGGAAGCCCTTGTCATGCGTTCTCAAATCACACTCCGTCAGGGCAGGTTCAACTCTGCCCATGTATGAGGCGGGTGCTGACCCCTTGTCACTGCAGGTGTTCCCACATGAGGATGGAGGTAAGACTCTCAGCTCAAGTACCAGCCTAGTTCAACTTGTCTGCCTCGGAGCCTAGATATCAGGTAGCTGAATCATCGTCCTAAACACTGCTATTACTCTAGAGTAAAACATATATTTTATTGTTGTTTATATTAAGTGTACAAAGACAGGCCTCATCAAATACAAACAACTCTAAGCAAGTCTGTCTTACCCAGACTTCCCCGTGCAATTAGTTGTTGTAAGGCATTATGAAAATGCAAAATACCATATAAATGTAGGACAGTTAGGTCAGGAAAATAATTATGGTAAATAATATGACTAACCGTCTTAAACTGTGTGAATAATAATAATAATAATTGAAGCCATTATGGACCATTGGTTGAAGCAACCACAATTAGCCAAAATGTGGTTAGGAGCACATTTCAGTTTTTAGCAGACAACAGAAGATGACCCCAGCAGCCTGGTGGCTCGGACACAGAAAATTAAGGTCAAATCAACCTGTCTGCAAGGATACAAGTAACATGAACAGAGGAGAAAAGAAGACAAGACCAGTTCAAATCTCCTCCTCATGCACATTGTTAGAGCTTGGAGTTGAGCCCACTGGTGGCAAATGAACTCACAAGCGTCGGTAGTGTGCTACTCAGGGGGCAAGACTTTTGCTAACACGAGGATGTTGGTCCAGTGAGTGGAGTTTCATAATAACCCTTAATACAAGTTTGAAGAAGAAAGAAAGACTCCTTAAATCTTGATTTCTGGCCCTATTTGTTGTTGTTGTTGTTGTTGTTAAATACTACTATTGCTAATAATAACAATAGTGATAATGCAAATGCCCATGTATTGCTTAGTATGGACTGCGTACTGTTAATGCCATTATATTTATTAATACATATTACGTATATTAATAAGGTCTCACACAACCTCGTGTTATTCTTCCCAGTTTTAGACATGAGGAAACCAAAGCACAAAGTGGTTAAATAAGTTTGCCACAGTGAGTGGCCAAGCTGGGATTTCAACCTGGGCTCCCTAGCTCGGCAGACTGTCTCTTACCTCTCTGCGCTGCCTTTTCTGCCTTTTCTCAGTTCAACGGCAAATACGTATTTTCATCACTGGTTGTGCCCTTACTCCACCCTCATCTTAGTGTTTTTTTTTAAGTAAACTACCAATACGAGCAAAAAACAAACACAAATTTTTCCAGGATATGAACATTTTCATCATTCGTATCAACCCACCCTAAATTTCACCAGCCTGAATTACGTTTCTCCAAGGCTTGACTAATACACGTTGTTGCATAGTGTTTTAAGAAACCTCCATTCCAATGCTGACATTGTATCTTATCTGTCCCATGCACTTCCTAGAATCCCTTCCGATTCTTTCCCGCTCTAATCTTTTCCAGTTCCACACGGTAAACTGAACAGAAATTGCTATACTGAATTCATTGCACCTAGGTGTAACACAGGTAACAAATTATTAACTGACCCTTCTTACTATTTGTCCGTTTGGGGCTTCCTATTTTAAAGGTGGATAATCAATAATATACTTTACAGTTTGCAAAGCCATTTCACCAGCATTAGCTGATTTGTTCTAATTTTTAGCATTTAAATCCACGGTGCACTTTGCCTTACTACTGTGCTTTTTCTTACCGTTTTTCCAAATCTGCCCTTAAAAGACAAACCCAGGATATCATAGACATATATGGCCACGCTTCCCTACAAAATCCGCATGTGACTTCCACTGCCAACACGACTGTGAGACTGGCTGAATTTTAAACACGGAATAACAAGCATGTCTAAGGCGCCCCGAGGCCGGGAGAGGGCGGTGGCTGCGCTCCGGCCGGGCTCCTGTCCCGGGCCGCGGCCTCTCCGCGCCGGTCCTGCCCCCGCGTCGTCCCGCCACCCGCCGCTGGGCAGCCTGGCCCTGGCCCCTTCAACAACGGGGCCGCGACGGCGCCCCCTGCAGGCCGCGGCGGGCAGGGCAGGCGGAAGAAACCCGAGCTGGGCTGCCACCGTGTCCCAGCCGGAGCCGCCGCCGCCGCCGCGTCGCGGGCCCGAGTCCGCGCGGAACGCCCTACTCTCCGCCTGCCACGTCCCAGCGCCCGCCGCAGCCGCCGCGCCGCCCGCGCCTACTACCTGCAGCGGCGGGCCCGGCCTGCCTCGGCCTTCCGCTCGTCCTCGCGTCCCGCACCGGCCTTCACTCTGGAGCGGCCCCGGCAGCCGCAGCAGGGGCCGCGGCGGCGGATCGAGGAGCTCTCTAGGTCGTCCCGGGAGAGGCTGCTGCAGTCCCGGGACAAGATGTTCTCCAAGTTCACCTCCATCCTGCAGCACGCCGTGGAGGCGGTAAGGCCGCGGGCGCACGGCAGGCCGGGCATGGCGGCGGCCTACGCGCCCTGCCGGCCTCGGCCCGACCCGGCCCGGCCCGGCCCGCGGGGGCTCGGCTCCCGGAGGGGCGAGGCCCGGGGCGTGCGGTGTGGGGTCGTCGGGGCGCCGGGGCCTCGAGCCGGCTCGGAGCAGGGCCCCTCCTCCCTTTCCTAACGGGGGCCGGCGGGGCCGCGTCCCCGCATCAGGAGGGTGGGTGGGGGTGCCCCGGGAGGACCGGCCCTGCCGGCGGGGTCGGGGGGTCTCCTGATTCCTCTGATGGGGACAAGGCACCCGGGGAGCACCTGGTGGAGCCACAAGGATCCCCCCCGTCCCCATTCTGTGACCGTCAACTTCCCCGGCAAAAAGTGGCCAGCCTTGAGCAAGACAAAAGAAACGGCCCAGCACTGCTCAGTTTTGTTTTGTTTTGGGTGCGTGAGAGGGTGGGTGAACGGGAAGGTGTACTCCTACCTCGGGGCGACCCTGGCGGGGACGCAGCCCACCCAACCCCGGGCCATAATCTCACCAGCCTCAGCTGTCGCAGGCCTGGGGCTGGACCTGCTCGATTGATGTGACATAGGAGTTTGCAGGGTCCCAGAGTGTGGGGTATAGGCACCTGGGCCCTCACGGGGCACCCGACCATCTGTTTCCTTTCCTCCTTCCTCTTCCTGAACATTCTGGGTTGATCTTGCCATTGTCCCCTCCTTTGAGGATTCGAGACCCCAGCGTGGACACACGTCGTTCAAATGTCCTCACAGACTAACACAAGAGAAGAAACTAAACATGTCTTGCCGCTGTTCGAATAATAAGAGGTCTAGTTGCTTGACTTCAGTTGTTTTACTTTGGGAGAATTGCCCAAATTGTGCGTCCGGTGAAGAAACTATTACTTGGCTAAATTTTAAAATGTCATTCTCTTCTCTGTGCAGGCTGTGTGCTGTAGCATATTAAAAGCCACACAGCTCTAAAAAAAAGATTCCAGTAGAACAGCTTTTATTGCCAGATAATAAAAATAACATGAATTTTTAAAATTCAGTAATGAAAGCCAACTTCTGTAGATTTCAGTTACAGGTGGGACGCGTTTTAAAATCGTTGTAGCTTCACAACAAGTTCTTGGGAAAGCGTGTCTGTTAACTCGAGAGAGAAAGCGTTTCCGAATGGAGGGCAGCGTTACACAGGAGGGAGGCCACAGTTTTAGCCTCTGAGACAAATGTCATTTTTCCTTTCTTGCTTATACACATTCAATTTGCAGCATCTTTATGTTTAAAGACCTAAAATTTGTCAAAACAGTGACATTCACATTTTACATTATTCCTTCACTTAAAACACCAACAATCACTTAATTTTAAACATTGACTACAGCTTAATATTGAGATAGTTAGGAATAAAAATTTACTACATTATTTATATCCTTTCCCTATTAGGCTCATATTTATAGAGATAACTGCTTAGAAGAAGGTGGCTCATTTTTGTCCCCGAGGCCTGTGTTTTCTGTCCTCATTATCTTTTTTTTTTAATTGTCTGCGTTGGCATCTACCAAATTATCTGTGTAAATTGTCTGACTCTGGTTCTCTAATATCCAGGTTCTCTACTTTGCTGAGGTGAGAGAAAGTTAGTTGGATTATATCCAATTGGTCCTCGGAATTAACACATTGAATTTAGAAACATCTTGTTTTAATTGGCTTAGAGTTGATGTTTTCAGCTGCGAAACTTCCCAGTTCCCAACAGGAGGTTAAAGCTCATGAAAAAACTTCGGCATACTAATTTTTTTCTTTTAACCACATCCCTTGGGGTTGAAGTAATACCTAGTGATAAATAAGCCATCTTTGTGGTACTTGAGTAATATTTTTTCCTAGCCCAGGATTGGTTTCCATTTATTCAGTTCTATTTATTTGCTCAACATGTTTTTTGTAAACTCATCTTACCATTCCTCAGTTCACTTCATTAACTTTTCTTTGTGCTCCTTTTAATTTGTATGCTCAATTAGTGTTTTCTAATACGGTATTACAATTAACATAATTATCAGGATTATTATACATGACCTTTTTCAGTTGTGTCTTTGTATGACTCTAATGTTTTCCCATTTTGATAGTATTTATGTTTCCTTATTCAATTGGATCAGCCCTCAAGTGGTCTTTTAGGGTTGACCAGAAACATATTCATTTAAATGAGCTTTAAAGGTAGTGTTTTTGTTATTGCTTAATTAAAAGTTTCTCCTCACTTCCTCCCGTTAACTACCTACAAGAAAGAAAAATAAAACTAAGATAGTTTCCAAGATTAATATCTGAAAATGTGTTATTAAGCTGATAGACTGCATTTTGAGTTTAGGAGAGAAATTCACACCTTGATCAAAAGCAAAACTTGTAATTCTTGCCTCTTTCTTCAGAAATGACAGTCTTCCTTCAGCATAGAAACGATTGGGCAGGAAGCATTATGAAATGAATCTGTTTTGTTAGTTGCCACACATCACAAATCTGAAATCAGGCCTCGCTTGTTGTTCAGAGGTTGGACTGGATCATCTTAGTAGAAATTCTCCAAAGCGTAAATAAAATACCTTCCAATCAGTACAGTTCAGTATTTGTTGAGGGCTTGGCCTGCTCTGGGTAACCCGCCAGGGACTGGCTCCTCTTAAACTCCAGTCAGTTCCATCCGTTGGGGGCAGATTCATTCCAAGAGGAGAGAGGACAATGCCAGGGCAGTCCTCTTGCAGAATCTAATACGGTCGTGAGTTAATGATGATTTGGGAGACCAGCAATTCTTTCAAAAACTCCTCTGCCCAGGGAGTGAAAACCTCAAATCAGACATATGTTGTGCTTTCTTAAGTGTATTCTTTTCCAATCAGTGATTTCTAACTTCAGTCCTTCGGTCCTTCAAGACATGTTTAATGAGACTGCCCGAAAGCGTGGCTCAGCGCAAGAGAAAAAAGACGCTCCTGTGTCCTTGCCCACAGTGTTTGGGGCACAGTCTAATTTGGGAGACAAATAAATACACAAGTTAAAGAAGAACAGGGGACACGAGCGTAGCTTAGCCCTAAGAGCTCGACAGAAAAGGGTTCCCGTCCCTGTCTCACAACATTCTTTTGAAAATTTAAATGAGCTTATATGCCTGAAGTGTGTAGTGCAGTGCCTGGCACATAGTAAGTGCTTAGGAAATGTAAACCATTGTTATAGTTTGCATGGCCCTCCAGCCTGAAGGGAGAAAGGAGCAGGCGCTTGTGACTGGAGTAATTGGGAAAGGCTCGCTGGAGGAAGTGAGACTTGAGCTGGGCTTTGGAGGCAGAGAAGAGAGAGAGGAAGGGCATTAGAAAAGTTGGGGCCAGGGAGAAGCATTTTAAAAGATCTGGGCATGGAATGTTCGTGATACGCGTGAGAGAGCAAGCAGATGTGGCATTGAGAACGCTAGTTCTCGTGTGGGTTATCAACTTAGATCCTTTGTGTGGTAGGCATTTTGGAGAAAGACATTCTAGGCTGACAGTCACAAGTGGTGTTTCCTTGGGCAAGTCAGTTATCTGGCTTTGGGTCTTGATAGGAATTTGTTTGGGAAAAATAGGAGTTCATTATGAGAATTTAAGACCACCCAGCGGACTGCGTGGCACAGCGCCTGACACAGAACTACTTATTAAATGGTAGCAACTGCTGTGTCATTCACTTATTCACCCAGTAAATGTTATCACATGGTTACCGACTGTCATCACTGAGTTGGAAACTGGGATTCAGAGATGAAGAAGCCGACACAGTCCCAGCACTCGTAGAGTTTACAGTCTAGCGGAAAAGATGGCGAACTCAACAAATACACATATGCGGTGAGGGCCGGGAGAGAGGGGGCAGGCTGACAGGGGGTGCCGCCAGCAGGCAGGGGAAAGACCGGGTCATAGGCAGGAAGTCAGGCGAGGCTGCTCAGAGACAGGCGCGGATAGGTTAGGCGTTTACTGCCGATTTTTGGTTGAGATGGCGATTGCATGTACTTCCAAAAATGTAATCTCTGTGTTGTAGAAGTTAACTCAAAGTAGAATCCCCTCATGCTCGTTCACACATCTCTTCCCTCTTTTTAACCCAGAGCATAAATGTTTTTATGCAAAGATAAAGCACATGATTTGCATATTAGAATTAGTAATGAAAGGGGCAAGTTTACAAGGAAGTTTTACATAAATAAGGAGATTTATTCATGTTTCAACAAGACTTACCTAAAGTAAGTTATGCGTAATTTAGAGCTCTTTCACTGGCTGCCTGAATAGGTTATTTTCTTTAAATCCAACTCCTGGGAGAGAGGTATTTATAAGTAAGCAGCACGTCCTCCTTTGAATTTGACCGTAATAGCACAGGTCGCGGCACAAATCTTCGACGTCCTCTGATTTAGTGACTTACCCTGGAAATAGGGTTAAGGCCCACGGGTGAAGTAATTTGGAACAAGGATGCTGTGATCGTATATACCCAGGAGGTTCCCTCAGAAAAATTCAACAAATCACAACATATATATATTTTTGAAACACCAAATTTCAGTTGGGTTTGTCCCAATTGTTAATACATTTAACTTATATATAAAGCTGGCATATGTATGTGTGTGTATGAGTGAATGTGTATAAATAAACAGGTCTAAAACTTGAGAAATTCTGTGTTCTGAAGAAGACTCTACAAACAAGCACCTGATTAAAATAGATGTTTTTAATCTAAAAAGTTCAGGAAGATTGTTTTCCCAAATTAACACTTGCATTTTTATTTTTCTCTCTAATTTTTTTTCTCAATGTCCCACAAGTAATTTCTCTCCCAATGTTCTTGAAGTATAGTGATCCCAAAGGTTTTAATTCCTTCGTTAAAGATGTTAAAGTGCTTTTTAAAAAATTTCATAACATTCTTCTTGAAAATGAGATGAATATTTACGTTCTCTTAACCCAGTATTATTCAGAGTGGTACAAATAAGCAAGGATAGATGACGACAATTGCCGAAGCATTTTCAGGTCCTTTTCCCCCCTAAATCCACTTCATCTGGGTTGAAACCAGTGTTTCCACCTTGCCCAATAGTTTGGAAGTTGTTTTCACAGGGTTTAGAACTTTGAGTTCTTCACTGGGGACACCGAGAAATCAAAAGGGAACAAGTAGGAGCGCAGGAGTAGTAACATGACCTCTTAGGTCCTCTGTTTAGATGAGGTATGTGACATTGGAAGATTCCTCTGCCAGAGTCTAGGTTTCCAGAATAGAAACCTATCTGTTCTTAAGTAAGCTGGGTCATCTCTCTACTTTCACACCAAAACCTATTGACGCTATCAGGGTCTTTTCTCCCTCTGTCTCGGCAAAAGAGAATGTTGAAGGAGCACCAAGTCTTTTCTATCCATTTTACTACACATTTGAAATACTTGGAGGTTTGCTGAAGGGATATAATTTTGGTCTTAAAACTTCTGAAGTAAATTTCAAAGCTAAAATGTAAAACATTTTTGACTTTGTGGACTTGAAATTGTTAGTGTCTTGTTCACATGGTTATTTTGCTGAAAATATGCTCTGCCTAATCCAGGCTTAAAAAAGAAAAGACTTAACATCTGTATGTCACTGAAAGTAGGGGACAGTTTTAATCTGATTACAGGGTTGACTTTGGTGTATGTTCTGGTCGTGGTGATGTGTAACTGATTACGTAGCAGCTTTTTACTGTTTTGCCAGTCAAAGTCCTAGGTACAAAGATCCCTGGTTATTGATCATGTCATTTTACTGATACTTTAGTAGTAGAAAATTGTGTGTTTTCCTTTAACACTGCTACTTTTGAAGCCATATGTAGTTACTACTTTCAGGCAAAGGGAACAAAACAATACTGTAGTTGAATAATGTGCATAGATGTGTTTTCCTACTTTCTTAATAAATCATTTTTATTTTCTTGGGTTTGAATCGTTTTCTTTCTCTTTGATATCTGACATATGGGAGCAGATTAAAGCTCACCCCATATTTTTATGTTGCTTTTGTGTGATTAGTAGACAAATACAGAGTTGTACTTTATGAGAAACTTTAATGACATTTTCTCAACTGTGGTCTTTTTGTGTGTGTTTGTACAGCTAGCACCGTCTCTTCCTTTACAAGAAGATTTCGTTTATCACTGGAAGGCAATTACCCATTACTACATAGAGACTTCGGGTAAGAAACGATGCTAATGTTAATTAAACAAAATTTGTGAAATACTAAAATGTATTTCAGATTATTAGTTTTCAAAGTTATCTTATATTTAAATTTAGAAACAATTTACGTTTAATTCCTCTTTCAGATTCATTAAAAATATGTCTCTAGAACACCTACTACCCACAGCATTGTTCTGGGCGCTGGGGGTAGAACCATCAAACAGACAAGATCCCTAACAGAGCTAATATATTGATTGGGGGGAGCAAACAATAAACAGACAAATACATACACTGTGTCAGCTAAGAAGTGTTAAAGAGAAAGTGAAGCAGGCTAAGGGGGAGAGAAGTGTGTGCTGGGTCAGACAGGTGGCTGTTTCAGGTTAGAGAAGCCCTCATTGCCCCAGGGACGTCTGCGCTGAAGTCTGAGAGAGAGAGGAAGCCAGCCTGGGGGTGGGGAAAAGGTCCAGGAAGAGGCCCCAGTGCACCAGCCCTGAGGCTGGAACAGGAAGACGCTTGCAGTGTCCTGGAGCTCTAAGGAAGCCGGCGGGCCAGGGCAAAAGTGAAGGAGGAGGAGGGTGGTAGGCAATGACATCAAACAGGTGGAGGGCCCAGACTCACACAGGACCTCGTAAGCCGTGGTTAGGGCTTTGGCTTATACTCTAAGGTGGGAAGCATGAAGGGTTTGGGGGTAGGACAGTCTGTTTTACAGGGACCACTTTGGCGTCTGTGGAAATGTTGATTGAAGGGGTGCACCGGCGAAGCTGGCAGAAGAGTTAGGGGCTGTTGCAGTGGTCTGAGGGGTGGTGGTGGCAGACACCAGGGTGGCAGTGGCAAGAAGTGGTTGTAGTTGTATTCTGGGTATGGTTAGAAGATAGTTTTGCTGACTGATTGGGTATTGGGTATGAGAGAATAAGAGTCAAGGATGGGTCCAAAGTTTTGGCGTAGGCAGCTGACCTGGAAAAATAGAAAGGTTGCTCACTGAGAATGGCCAGACTGTAGGAGGAGCAGGTCTGAAAGAGAATTTTCGACATAATTAGGTTTAGATGCTCATTATCTGTCCAGTTGGATGTGTCGAGCAGACAATTGGAAATTGGCATCTGGCCTTCAGGGTAGAAGTCTCGACGAGAGATGCTGAGAGCTGTGCGACTGGATGTGATGTCTAGAGCATGAGGTAGAAGGAAGAGAGAAGGCGTTGCGGGAACTGAGCCCTAGGCCTCAATGCTTAGGGGTTAGGACAATGAGAACAATAGCAAAGGAAACCAGGAGAGACTGGTGGCCCAGAGCTAGGTAGGTTGCACTCTTGGGGCGTGTTGGTCTGAAGGGGCGCTAAGAAAAAGGGCAGCAAAGAAGCTGCCGGAGGGAGCTGTGGCATCAAAAGAGGCTTATTTTTTTTAAAGGGGAAAATACTGCAATTTGTAATGTGAGGGGAATGATCTAGTAGGAGGGGAAGGGGGGCACAAGAGTCCGACGGGATCATTTATTTCTAAGCGCTGTCCCGCCGCAGGCAAGCAAGGGGGGCGGGATCTACTGCACAAGCGGAGGCTTAGCCCTAAATAGGCTTGTGGACAGTTTCTCGATAAAAATAAGGTAGAAAGCAGAACATCTGGGTATAAAGGCAGGAAGTGGATAGATGTGGTATTGGGAGTCTTCAGAGGTTATCTTCTGGTTGTTTCTATTTTTCTCAGTGAATAGGAAGGATGGAGAGTGAATCTGGGGAAACATGAATAAAGTAGGTCAAGGGTTGGCAAACTTTTCCTGTAAAGGGCCAGATGTAGGCCGTATGGTGTCTGTTGGCAGCTACTCAGCTTCGTTGTCATGCAAACTAGCCGTCAGTAATATGTAAAAAAGGAAACATTCCTTTGTTCCAGTACAGCTTTATCAAATAGGTAGCAAGGCTGCATTTGTCCTGTGGGTAAAGTTCAGCCCTCTCTGAAGCAGGGCAGTTCGGTAGCATTGCTGCCTAGCGCCCTGGGCTCCCTGGGGGAATGTGTAGTGAGCACCGGTGCCTATGCAGGTCAGAGACGCGTCACTTAACTGAAAGGAAGCATGAAAAAAAAATGCTAGTAGTTGATTTGATGAGCTAATAGGGTCATGGGTGATTTATCTGAAAAGAAAAAAATCCTTTATATTTGTGCGATAAATAAAATCAGACTATATATAGGTAGATAGATATGCATATGCCTTTATATGTAATTTCTAGCTTTATTTGGATGTTAGACAGCAGATGTACAGAAAAGTTTTTTGAGAGGAGCCGCCTTTTCTAATGACTGTTCTTAGCCTTGTGAGGTTTAGGTCCCTCGGTGGCTTAAAGGAAATGCTTTAGAGAAAGGCTTTAGATGATCTTTTGCAATCTGATAGCAGAAACAAGTGTGTGCACTACAGTAAAGTAGAGGACACATAAGTTTATGTCAGGCACAGAAAGGGGACAAAGAAGGGAGAACTAGGAGGAGGCAGCATTTGACCTGGGTTTTGAAGGATGCGCAGGAGGTTGTGAGGCAGGGGAGGAGGCAAAGGTGGAAGGAATAGCATATGCAAAGGCACAGAGATCTAAATATAGCATAGGGACTAGGATTTTAGTTCTGTCAAATATGGGGAAAATACAATAATAAATGATAATAGAAGAATAAACTGTTTCACACACTCACAACTGTAAACCTAATGCAGTTTAAAACATGCAGTTTAATATTTAAGAAAATATTTAGTTTAAATATGCAGCTTAAAAATGTTTGACTGTTTGATGCACGTTTTTTTATTGTTTAGATGACAAAGCCCCAGTGACAGACACAAATATTCCATCTCATCTGGAACAGATGTTAGATATATTGGTACAAGAAGAAAAAGAACGAGAATTTGGAGAGACGGGACCATGTATGGAATACTTGCTTCACCACAAGATCTTGGAAACATTATATACCTTAGGGAAAGCTGATGTAAGTTTCTAATCCACATCATGTTCTTGGGCATGTAATACATGTACTCATGTCTTACAGATGAAGAAGCTGCCCAGTACTAAATTTAATTATAGAGGTATGTATTAAGCATGGCAGGATTTAAGTCAGTACTGTGGAAAAAAGAAAATTGTGCAGCCTCTATGAATGAATGTACTTTCCATGGAGATAGCGAAACTCCCAAATGCTCTCGACAACAACTGGCACTTAGGCTGCTTAGAATTACAGTGTAAACATTTATAAAAATAATCTCAAGTACATGTGCACGGAATCAAAGGAAACGAGAAGGAACCCAATGGAAATTGGGTTACAAGAATGGGAATTATTTTTCATAATCCTGAAAGAGAATTGTCACTGATTATTTTGACATTAACTCTACTAGTAAGTGGAGACCATTCACGTGTTTAGATCTAATGAATCTTGAGAATTCTTTGCAAAGCTGCTATTACATAAATGATATTCTCTGTCACAAACTTCAAATTTCTTATAAAGGTAGGTTTCAAACCAGGTCCTGCTGTGAGGGAAGGGGAAGGACTTTGGGTTCAGACTAGGAGGCCTGGCATTGTCATTTATATACCGTGACCTCCGGCAAAAGTCTTGTTGGTTAATCTTCCTCCTCTTTTTAAAAACAAGGAGGTGATCATCATGTGCCCTCCTTAGTTCTAAAAATCTGTGCTTCTGTTCTGTGAAATTTATAATATGTCTGACAATCAAACTGGGGGTGGGGCAAGCTAATAGATGTTCAACCATCAAATAGAGTTCTAAATAATGTTTAAAGACAACTTCCTTGTAACGAATCTGTAATACCAATTCATTTTTAAGTTGAATTTATTCAATTTTCATTTTCTAGGTAACACATCTCCCTAATACCTTGCAATTCATCCCCCTCCATCCCTTCTTTTTTCCGGGTGGAGAGTGGGGTTGTATATAACACTAAGTTGAGTAAATGTTCATTGATTTTGAGCAAATGTGAGTAATTGCACTAGTGAATTTATTTTGATATAGGCGATTGTCTCTATTAGTGTTTTATCTGAATAACATAAGATATTTGCTATTTTAGAAAATACTGTGCTTACGATTATAGTTTGTACTGTTTTTGGATAGCACATCTATGATGATGCTTTGGAAATGCCACTCATTTTGTGACTGTATTTTCATTCTGAGGCAGTCTAAGTACGTTAATTATAGAACAAATAACATTAATTCCTACTCTCTTAATTCACAGTGTGAGTAATCATCAGGTTTATCTACTTTTAAGCAAATATTTAAAACAATTGGTATGTTATACAAACTTCTTTATTACATATTAATGCCTATAATCATAATGTAAATAATTTTGTAACTAATTTAAAACAACATTCTTGGATTAAATCACAGATATTTATACCATAGGAATCCTTTTACTTATATATATATGTGTGTTAGGCTTTATTTACTCCTGCATTTAGATGCTGGAAAGTTTATGATTACTTGTCATTAGTGTAAGTAACAAGAGTCTGGCCTGGCTTTGCCACGGACTTCACTATGACACTTTCATGTTGCCTCAGCATTTAGAATATAAACAGGTCAACGATGCCTGAACCAAACTCTGATCTGAACAATGCATTCTTGCCATATGGTCCCATATGCCATATTATAGTCCCAGATGTCATTTAACTCCTAGAATACCAGTCATTAATAATTGATTGAGAATTTATCACGGCTAATTGCATTGACTTTTGAGGGTGGAATACATTCACACCCATTGTCTCCCCTGTATTTTAAGCCTTTGAGTAAGTGTGTTTGCATTGCCTGTTCTCTTCTTGTTTGCTCTCCTTTCCTCGCATGCTCAGTGCCCCCCGGGAATGAAGCAGCAGGTGCTGGGGTTCTACACCAAGCTCCTGGGGAGAGTCAGGCAGCCGCTGCTTCCGCACATCAACGTGCACAGGCCTGTGCAGGTATTGCGCCCCTTCCCACAAGGTTACTGGTTTGATTTCTTTTGTATAGATATAATTTTATATAATTCTTTTAAGAGTTAAAACAGTACAGGAAGTTACTCTGAAAATAACATGCAAATTGGAAAATATTTGAGCTGACATTGTATTAAACATACTTCATGTCTTGATATTTCTCTTTTAAAATTTTATACATTAATTTTCCCTTCAGCTTATCTCCATAACATCTCAAGGAGAGTTTTTGTATACACCTTATCAATTTTTGGGGGGTAATGTATTTGAAAAATTTACAACTAGTAAACTTACTTTGATATTGGTGATTATAAATAGTGTATCTGAATTAATGCAAGCTATTTGTATTGTTTGAAAATGTTAAATATCCTTAAGGTAAATAGATGGCTAATTACATACTCATAAAAAATAACCTAACTTAAAACATTTTTTAAAAAATTTTTGACAGAAATTAATTCGACTCTGTGGTGAAGTCCTTGCAACACCAACGGAAAATGAAGAAATTCAGTTTCTATGTATCGTATGTGCAAAACTCAAAGAAGATCCCTATTTGGTTAATTTTTTTCTGGAGGTATTGTATACTTCTCGGTCTTCAAAGTATGCTTATGTTAAAATTATTATGAGAACTGAGTATTCATATACTATCTATGTCAGTTATTACAGTTTCCCGGTATTAGAGTTTTTATATGCATTTTACTTTCTCCTGCTGATCAGTAAACTCCTTGAGGTCAGGGACTCTGTTCTACTAACCTTTGGGTCCCCACAGATTTCTCTCATACCTAGCACAGTGCACAATAACTGTGCAATTAGCACGTTCTAAATGAATGAATCTTTAGAAAAACACAGCTTTATTACTTATAAGTATAGATAGTCACAAACGTACTTTGCAATTCTCAATCATATATCCCTCTAATCTATATTAGATTTATATTAGCTAACACATGCATCTGCTGTGGGTTAAGTGCATATGGTAAATGGGTTAGAAACTGTCTTTGCCCTGAAGGAGTTTATAGGCTGGTGACAAAGGTAAGACTAATATTCAGATACAGTACATAGTCTTAAGAGTAAGGTGAGCATCATAAGAAAGATGCAGAATAAATGCTCCTGAAGTATTTATAGGATGAAGAGATTACATCTGCGCTAGATCAAGAGGAAAGACTTCATGGAAGAGGTTATCTTTGATATGAGCTTTGACATATTTAAATAAGAACGGGTGAACATAAGTAAAGGAATGAAGACAGAAAAGTTGATGGTGTCTTCAGGAAGCAGTAAGATTAGGACAGGTGGTAAGAGGCAGGCTTAGAGAGATAGACCAGCAATTGTCAGAGGCTTTGAATGGCAGGATGGGGAATTTGTACTTCCTTGCAATTGTCGGGGAGCCATTGAAGATTTTTGAGCAGGGATATTATTACGTGATGGAACCTGTGCCTTGAAAAGTTACTGGTAAATTGGTGGCAGCATCCTGTACAGTGGATTCCTTTCAGAGGAGAGAGAAGACCAAGGAAACTAACTTGGGGGCTGATGGAGAACCGAGACAAGAAGTAAGAGGACTGTAACTAAGTTGGAAGCGGCAGGTTGGGGTGGAGAGAATATACTCAGAAGACATTTGAGGCGGACTCTGTGTGGTCTTGGGCAGGGAGCAGGAGGAAGAGGGTGGATGCATGCATTCCTGAACCAGCGAGGCTGCCGCCGATGAAGAGAAGGGCACCCTGAGGAAGCTTATTTTGAGGGGAAGGTGGTATTTTGGTTCTGGATGCTTTGAACCATCATGATGCTCTCATGGGAATAATTAGCAGGTATTTGGTACTGCAAATCAGCGGTCTGGGAGAGGAGTCTGGGTTTAAGAGATCCAGAGGTTGTGTGTACAAATGTGCTATGGTTACCAATGAATTCCCTAAAGATGAAAGGAAATAGTTTTAGTAAGAAACAAAAGTGCAAGAGCAAAGGCAGCAGCTTCTTGTCACGTAGGGAGCTTTTTAAAAATGCAGATTCCTTGGCTCCACCTCCAGATACTCCCTTTTGGTGAACCGGGGTGGGACTCAGGAATCTGCAGTTTTATCAAGCCCCACAGAAGACCAGGATGACAGAAGTCTCAAGTCACACTTTGAGAACCATTAGTTTAAGGAGTGTTGTTCTAAGATTAGCTTTTCTCTTCTCATTCTTATCTGAGCTATTACTCCTAACTGTTGTTAGTATTTTGATGAAATAAATGTTTTACATTCATAAACACTATGATCTGCACTGATTTTATAGTAAACTGGGATATTGGTTGGAGTATTTATTTAGTCCCATAGAATTGTTTCTGTTTAATATATGTACTATGAGCTCAATTTCTCAAGAAGATTGGTCTACACTCTACTTTTAACAGTAATAGTAGTGATTTATAATAACTATAAAGTGGGAAGTAGAACTTTGAATTCATGCAGCATTTAATATACTTCTATGATGGGCAGAATACAGCAATAGGCTCTGAGGAGAAGCTGGTTTATGATGAATTCAAACTTGTGTGTATGATTTGATTTTTGCTCTTAACTTCAAATGGAAAGCAAGATACTTTTTCCTTCAACTAATAATTTGGCTTCGGTTAAGATTCTCTTTGTGTTTGGGTATGTGTATGGAAGGGGGAGGGGCCAACATTTCAAGCAAATCTTACTTTTTATGTAGGACAGAAGTATAAGGGAAAAAAACTTCGAGAAGTCATCTTCGACAAGTAGCCAGTTGATGAGAAAATTAACTGCAACTGAAAACTCCAGAAATCTTTTTTCCCCACTAACATCAGTTGTTTTCAGTAGTAGTCAAATAGCTATCACTAATATGGTTCATTGCTTATGGTCAGTGGGAAACATTTTGTAGATAATATAAAGCATATCAGAAATGCCTCTGCAATTTTAGAATATCTAAAAGAGTTCGTTGTAGTCTGAGAATTTTCGTTTGTCAAAACACTTGTATCTATCTATTGCTATGCTGGCTAGACATTGAATGTTAATTAAGGAAAAATCCATTAAAATATGATTTCCGCTTTAGAAAGCTTTTGCTGTGAATCTTACGAAACGCATGTTCCTTTTTAGAATAAGTTGAAATCATTGGCTTCCAAAGGAGCACCAAGTGTAATTTCGGAAGACACACTAAAAGGTCAGGAGCCCTTGTCAGCAGACACAGACAGCCCTGTGGGCCGGAGGAGCTGTCCTGCGCGGCTGGGGCGGAGCAGGCCGGGGCGGAAGACGGGCCTCCGCAGCAGGCAGACGACCTGTCCACGAGCCTGGAGAATCTCAGTGTCACTTCCCTGCCAGAGGCCACCGTTGTTCGCCCAAACCAGGATTACAACTTAGTGAATTCTTTGTTAAACCTTACTAGAAGCCCTGTGAGTCCTCACCTTTCATTCCCAATATGATCACAGCTATATGCATTTACAATAGAAAAAAAAAATCAATTCTCATTTTGTTGTAAAGCATTAAGTCCTTGAAGTTAAATTTTTTCCAAGCAACCCCTCGGCTGTCTAAGCTGAGAATTGAAGGGCTGCGTGTTTGTGCCCCCAGGATGGCCGCATCGCTGTGAAAGCCTGCGAGGGCTTGATGCTGTTAGCGAGCTTGCCGGAGCCCGCGGCCGCCAAGTGCCTCACGCAGAGCACTTGCCTGTGCGAACTACTGACCGACAGACTTGCCTCCCTCTACAAGGCTCTACCTCAGTCAGTGGACCCCCTCGACATTGAAACGGTGGAAGCAATTAACTGGGGGTAAGAGCCATCAGTTGTGTTTTTCTGTAAAAGTGACTTCTTACACCTACACTTTTAAATCCATTTCTGTTTTTCAATGCTAGGAACCTTCCATTTTGAAAAAACAGCAACTTTGCTAGAGATCATTAAATGGGATGATTCTGTGAGGCTTGTTTTATATTTGTTATCAGTTAGTGGTAATGAATGGGTATGGGAGTATTCTAGCGGTATAGGTAACTTTTCCTTTGTCCATTATAGTGATCAATGAAGACCTTAATTACATGAAGACTGATAATGTTTATCTGTTCTTTTTAAAATCCTAAAAAATGTTATCTTGTTTATAAATAAATTCCACAGCCCCTGGGGCAGTCTTGTCTGCTTCATGGGCTGCCCTACCCCTTGATTCTCAGGAAAATACGATTATTGTGGGACATTTATAAGTTACTAAAAAGTACAATATAAAGCATCATAAATAAAATCACCTATAATCCCACCACCTATAAGCAATCTAATATCTTGACATAATAACTTGTTTCTGTTTTCCTGTGTATTTTTGACCCTTCTTTGGTTTTCACTTGTTTTTTTCCCCACCCTGTATTCCGTTCACATCTGTCAGGCAGAGCTACATGTTAACTTTAAGGCAGGAAGAGAAGCAGGCCAGTCGTTTCCTTTCGTAGATCTGCGTGATTCCTTTTCTTCCCCCCCCAGCACTGAGAACCTCCGACTATTCATGCCTGTTGCTTCGTCAAGTTTATGGCAGGCGGGGGAGGCGCTGTCTCGGGGTTTTCTGCAGCTCCATCCTGCTTTAGCCCCCCTCTTTCCACGTAATGCGTAAAAATTACTTACAACTTTTATTTAAAAGGTTTTCTCTAACCTTTGGCTTTCTTTTATGAAACCCTCTCCTGGTAGTCATGCTGCTTAGCCTGTGTAAATATATCACACTGTGTAAGTTCATTTATGTGCCCTCACTTTTCCATGCTTTGGGATAGCTTTGGACTTAGCATTTCTTCTGTATCCTACAGTTTGGACTCATATAGTCATAAAGAAGATGCTTCAGCATTTCCAGGGAAACGAGCCTTAATTTCATTTCTTTCCTGGTTTGATTATTGTGATCAGCTCATAAAGGAAGCACAAAAGGTTTGAATATTTTTATTTTTTTATTGCTCATTCTTAAATGTAAATGTCTACTAAGTGAAATTAAATCCTCAGCTTATATCCCCAAAATATCTTAATTGTCTTAGGATAGCACAGTGAGTAAAATAAGTAAAACCGAACAAACTGAATAAACAGAAGAAGTATGTATATGTGTATGTATTTGTGTGTGTTACAACTCTAGAGTAAATTGCAATTCAAATTCTACCCTTGTATTTCTTTAAGTTTTCTAGTACAACCCCTCAGAAGATAATATTGGCCTCCCCTCATTTCTCCTCTTTGGAAAGATGTTATCACCATAAGGTGATGGGGTTTAATATTTTTATCCTGTCTGTCTTGTTCTTGGAAATTTAGATAAAATGTAAAGAACTTAATAATTAACATCTAATCTAGGTTCATATGCCATCAACGAGACGGTCCATAGGCAGGTTTGTTTCCCACATTAACTCAGATGGAGGATGCAGACTGATAATATTGATGTTACAGATTAATCTCTCTTTTCCATTAAAAAAAGATAACGATGCTTGTACTCTATTCTAGACTACTGCTGTTGCTCTTGCCAAAGCCGTCCATGAAAGATTTTTTATTGGAGTAATGGAACCTCAGTTAATGCAAACGTGAGTGGCCTCTTTACTTAAAAAAGAAAAGAAAAGCAAATCCCTGTGTTGGTGTTATTTTTGCCCACTGATTACCTGTTTGTTGCGCCAGCTCTGAGATGGGAATTCTGACATCCACTGCGATGCTTCATCGCATTGTTCGGCAAGTAACCTCCGACGTTTTGCTTCAAGAAATGGTGTTTTTTATCCTTGGAGAACAGAGGGAACCAGAAACCCTGGCAGAAATTAACCGACATCCTTTAAGACATAGGTTAATTGAACATTGTGATCACATATCTGATGAGGTAAGGTATGCAATCATTTAGAATATGACGTAGAGTCTTTGAAATCCTGATTTTAGTATGCTTGCGATGTTTTGAATACGGCCTCCTCTTTATGTGGTTTTAAACATAAGCAGCATGGCTAACAGTATGGCAAGAAGAATGATTTAGTTACATTTTCCAGTCAGCCTTTGTCATTTTTGGTTTCAGATAAGCATAATGACACTAAGGATGTTCGAACATCTTTTACAAAAACCCAATGAGCACATTCTTTACAACTTGGTCCTAAGAAACCTTGAAGAAAGAAATTACACAGAATATAAACCTGTGTGCCCAGAAGATAAAGATGTGGTGGAGAATGGAATGATAGCAGGAGCAGTGTAAGTTCCTATTCAATTCTGAGTTTAGCGTTTCATGTAGAATCGTAATTTTCTCTCTCTCTCCTTTATTCATAAAAAAAACTTCTTAACAGTTTTAAAAGTTTTTTAAAAATGAAACTTAGAGATCTTGATATTACTGTCCCTTTGCATTACAAGAGGTATTGTCTGTTCATTAAATCTAACAAAATCACTTTGTCTTTGAGTTTGTTGTTAGTATAAAATGTTAATTTCTCTATAAAATGTAAATATATTACATTTCTTAATTTTTTTAAACAAAATTATGTAAGAATAAAATTATTTCTAAGAACACAGCAGAGAATCTTTTGGTTTAGAAAATATAATAAATTTTTTTTATACATCATTAAATTAAACTTAGAGATCTGGAAGAAGATCCATTATTTACTGACATTTCACCAGATAACACTTTGTCAAACCAAGAGTGGCTTAGCTCTTCACCTCCTGCTACTCCAGACCACCCCAGAAACGATGGGAAAACGGAAGTCCATAAAATTGTAAATAGGTGAGTGGCTGGATAAATTTGACTTACAGCTCTTGTCTTTGCAATACATAATAGCTCTGCTCTTAGATTGTTACAGAGATGTATTATGAACTCAATCTTGCCTTATTTAATCTAAAGACTTTGTCAGCTTTTTGTCATGCTTATGTAGCCAATGAAAACCTTGGGGCAGAGGAAGGCTCTCCTTAATATAGAAATAAAAACAATTTTTATTTTGTGACAATTGTGACCTTCAGAGTATCCTACTTTTTATATGTAAATAATGTAAAGTGATTCCCAATTAGAACAACATTGAGACTCTCCAGTTTTACAAATCATACTTATTAGACATGTATTCATAGATGCTAAGCATAAGGATATTCCTTTTCATTAGTTTGTGTTTTTTAATTTTTTTTTAAAAAGTGCCCTTTCTGTGACAATTTTCTTTTTCTTGCTTTGTAAAGCTGTTACTGAGATGCCTGGTTCCATCAGATGACTACAGAAAATTGCATGTTTTTCAAGATGTAAAATTAGGATGCATAAAAATCTTAAATTCACTTAAAAGCTAGCCTTCCTGACATTAACAAATATCATGGCACTCTGTCATTGTGCTATGATGTAAAACAAAACAAAACAAAAAGTCATTTTAGGCTGGCTTCTGTGTTAAGTGGAATGAGTAAGTTTTTTAAATAAAACCTTTAATGAAACAGTATTTAATCAGTAAGACCAATTGAAATTAGGTACTTAAGAACATATAATTTTATTTTTCAAATTTCCACTTGCATTAATCCTTGACTAAAGATATTGCTAGATATTTTAATACATATAAAGATATTGAATTATGAGAGTATTTACGTTATTGATTATGGCTTTTTCATTTAAGTTTTCTCTGTCTGGTGCCGGATGAAGCAAAATCATCCTACCACGTTGAGGGCACGGGGTATGACACCTACCTCCGAGATGCTCACAGGCAGGTACGTCTACTAAGTTTTTGAAATGAAATCTCCTGTGAGTGCATGCACACACCTTGTCACATTACCCACAGTCCTCTCTCCAAAGGTGTCCCTTTCTCTGCAAGACCTGAACTCCACTGTCACCACTTTAACTTTCTGTGAGTGACCTTACTTTGCATTCCTCTGCCTGTGTGTCTCTGTCTCAATTTCTTAAGGCCCCCTCTAACCCTTTCTCCTCCCCCACCTTCTTCCTTTCCCTTTCTTTCTGTAGTTGACATTGTACCTCCCCAGACCCTTCCCCAGCTAATCCACCCTGTGAGCTTCACGTGACTGCCTACCAGCACCCTTGCTCCCAGTCCTCGGCTCTCCTTCCCTCCTTGGTGGGCGGTCTTCCACACCCAGCCACCTCCGCACGCTGTCCCTCCTCCCTCCCCTGCATTTTGGCTCACAACCTCAAATCTCTCCGTAGTTGTTAAAGTAAATGGCTGTCTCTCCGTCTTCTTTACTCTCTGTAGCATTTCCATTTTTAACAAAATTCCAAATTTTGAAATGTCTCAAACCAGAAAAATGTGTATTGCATTTTCATTTAACTCTTTGGGATTTAAGTGTACTATTATATATAATTAACTTGTCTATATGCCGATAGTTAATTCATAATGCTCTAAGCCTGACTTCAAGTCCACATTACTACACAAATAACTAAATAATGTGATTTCATGAAACAATAAAGGCAATAAAATAATAACCAATTCAGTACTACCAACAGGATTTTTAAACTCCTTTTATTCTTTCTGTCAAGTTTTATTATTTTTAAAAATATATTACTTTCTAGGTCAGAATTTCAGCAGTATTACCAGGAACATGCTTTACTAAATATTAGGATGTGGTTTTACAAAGAAAATTGTCTATTGAAAGCTAAATAGTTTTAAAGTCACAGTATATTGAAGAAGCTGGCTTTTTTATCATTTTAAATATGTTTTTCTTATAAATATGAAGTTAGTGCTTCACGGTGAGAATATGTTTTGTTGTAAGTTCAGGTAATTTCCAAATTAGAGAGGTCAAAGCAGTTTTGCTTTATCGAGGAGAATCTGAAAAGGGAAAGAATGAGGAAGAAAACTTTGCTGTAAATTTCTTTTATTCCAATTTGAGTAAATTATCTGGTAGGAAGACTGTTAAAATTTTTTATTCTCATGCTTATCGGAATTCATATTGTTTATTCCAGTGATAAACTCTGTGTAGTGAAGGACTAGTTTCTTATTATTTACAATCTCAGAGACTAACACTTTTGTAAACTATAATAAAAATGATTTCCTAGACCCCTGGACAGGTGGCTCCGTCGGTTGGAGCGTTGTCCCGTACACCAGAAAGGTTGCGGGTTTGATCCCTGATTGAGGCAACTGCTGGGGATGGCTTGTTGTGGGGGGAGGGTGGGAATCTATGTTTCTCTCCCTTCTCTCCCCTGCTTCTCCCTTCTTCTCTAAAATCAATAAACATATCCTTGGGTGAGAATATTTTTTAAAAATGAATCACTAGAAAAATGCAAAGAAAAACAAATTACAAGCCCTGATTATTTTATTAGATTCAAGGGACATAAAATTTACTCAGTTCAATGGCAATAAAAGTTGCTAAACTCTTGCTCTCAGTTTCTGTACTCATTGCGATGGTAGCAGTTTGCAAGAACACAGTTTGAGCTGCACCATTGTATCCTATCAGAACAACATGCCTAGTGCAAACACATTACAGGAGAGTTGAGCTTGCCTTCTCAGATGGTGTGCATCTCTTCGTCTATTACAGGTAACAGTAGAATAGAGTTGAAAATGTGGCTAGAACTTACCATGCTTTTAAGTATTCTCTTACGTATGTAATGAAAATAAGGGTTACATTCCTGTAAACGGAAAGAGCATAAGCACAATAGTTGAAGGGGTACCTTGGTAAACTTAAAATATGCCTATTTTTTCATTCAGTAGACACTGGTGCGGATGATTATAATCTTGCTGTATGCGTCTAGTTAGGCTGTTATCTGAGTCACTTCTGCCTCCCATGGCGCCTCCCACGGAACAGACACTCGGCATTCAAATGGATTTTTATATTCCTGTTTGAGGAAGTCATTTCTGTTTCATCTCGATTTGTTTTTCGTTAGTTCCTTAATGGTCTCCGTGCTTTTTCCCTAGTTCCGGGACTACTGTGCCATCTGCTTAAGATGGGAGTGGCCTGGCTCTCCAAAAGCATTGGAAAAGTGCAACCTAGAAGCCGCTTTCTTTGAAGGTCATTTTTTGAAAGTTTTATTTGACAGAATGGGAAGAATTCTCGATCAGGTAATGTGTTAAAGTACTTATTTTCATATTATTTTGTTACCATTCATCACGGGTTCATCTCAAGTCTCACTTGACATCTTCAATAAAATAGTTTTATGTTTTCTTAGTTTTTCCACTAGATGACTTTTTTCATAAAGCTTGCTTGTCAACAGTGGGTGCGTTTCTGATGCATTCGTTATGTTAAAAGCATTTATTTGGCCTGACAGTTGTCACAGAATTGTATATTTTGCTTCTCTCTATAGGCCCTTGTCTTAATATCTTTAACATGTTTTGGAGGCGATTAGAATGCATTTCTTTTATGGCTAACTTAGAAGGCCTTTCTTTTAGTACAGTTAGTACCAATCCAGATAGTTAGCCTTGTAAGGTTCGGTTCAGAACAGTGTTACGTGAGCATGCTTCTTCAGGCAAAGAACTCGTGAATCATACTCATTTTCATAAGGAAGAGGTAAAATTAAAAGAGGTAAATACACTTACTGCCAGGTGGGGGGATCGCCGTCAGCTGGTGTGTCGCCGTCTGTGTCTCGCTGTCAGGGCGAATGGACGTGGGGTTACCGAAGCGGCCCTGCCCTCATGAACAAAGGAACAGAGCGATGCTGGAGCTTTGAAATGCTTGACACACTGGGGTGTACACTTGAAATACAAGAACCTGGCGTGATACTTGCCTCGAAATAGAAATTGAGTTAACCAATTTGGAATTAATTTAAAATTGTATATTAAAGCACTTGGTCTTTTTTAGCATTTTAGTTAAGGTTTATGTGAGCTGAGGGAGTTATAGAAGAAATATACTATGTAAGCAGGCTATCTTCAATAACCAGAAAGCCAAAAAAAGAAATTCATCATTTAAGAAGTATTCCACTAGGTTAGACTTCAGTCAGTACTGTTTCTGATAGTAATCAGTAAAGAGACAGAGTAAGTGCCCTTTTTCTTTTAACCTCTTAATAGCATGAGCCATATGTCTAGTGTCTACTTGTTTGTTTGTTTTACACTTAACAACCAAAGCATTTAAATCCAGCTTGTACTTTTTCTTAGTATATACCCCTGATGGATAACCTTGCTGAGATTAAACATTGGCTACGGATAGAAGGCTAAGGTGCATAGCAGGATGTAGAGATTATCAGACAAATACAGGAGACCAAGTTCTGGCCCTGCCCTGACCGAGGAGAGTTTGACCTTGGGAAACTGACTTAGCCACTGTCACATTTTCTTACCGTTAAAGTGACGTTGCTATTCCTTGCCCTAACACACTCCTTACGTTTGCTTAAAAGAATTAAATGAAAAAACTAATTTAAAATACTTTAAAAAATACAAAATCTTGTTAAATGCAGGTATTAGAAATTTCAGAGACTATCAAGTTACTGAGATTGTTTAAAGTTTGACTTAAATCTTGCTATTTTGAATATTTGCATATTGGACTTTTAGCAGAAGGGTCGAGACTGTCGGGCAACATCAGTATGCTGTTAAGTCAGTGTTTATTGTCCTAAAGTCATACTGTGTGATTAGTGTGAGCTCAGCCGAGAGTGGGCCAAGTCCACCTGACATGTCAGAAGAATCTGGTTAGCTTTTATTTCTGGTAAATACTCTATAGAGAACAAAATAAAAGGTCCAAAAATAATAGATTATTATCAACAACATCAAAAAAGGCCAACTTATTTTTGAGTTATACCAATACGAAAGAGAGACCATTTTAGAGTATGGTGGAACAGTTTCTTTCTAGCTGTAATTTATTTTCATTTTCACATTAAAAAACCTGGCCCAAGCTGGTGTGGCTTAATTGGTTGGAGTATTGTCCCGTAACTAAAGGGGTTGCAGGCTCGATTCCCGCTCAGCACACATAGCTTTGTTTCGGATTCAGTCTCCTGTCCACAGTCTCCAGCGTGTATGATCCCCGTCCGGACATGTGCAGGAGGCAAACAATTGAAGTTTCTCTCTTGCCCTTCCTCTCTCTAAAAGCAATGAAAAAATGTCCTCAGGTGAGGATAAAAAAAGAATAATAATAAAAAAATCTGTTTCAGTCTTAAGTTTCTTAAGCAACAGAATACATAGATTTCTAGTTCAAACAAAACTAAAAACTAACACCATATAGAGAAAAGTTAAGTGGCAATACACTTATTTAAAGGCAAATTATGTATTGATTCAAGCACCTGCAAATGGCACAATTTAAACCTAAAAATCTGAACTATCTGAAATAAAGTCACTTACAATTCTGTAGTTGTTTTATTTTAAATGATATTGTCCACATTTTTACCCTAATGCATTCTTCTTAAAGATTTTTTTTAAAAGGTTTCTTTTGTGCCTAAAAGTGAATTCACCTTTTGTTATGCATTAAGTCTTGGAAAAGGCTCTTCTGTTGCAGATACTATGAAATAGGAGACCGTCCTTTAATAGGACTAGCACCTCCCTTCACTTAAATTGCAGAAAGGCTAGATTTTGAATAAATGAGTTCGAAAGAGTTTTTCTCCTTTCAGAAAATCTGTGTTCATGAATCTAGTGGTAAGTAAAACAATTCAGCTTGGACTTGTGACACAGGACTTGAGGTTTTGTTCATGGAACAGGGTCTTTGCTATCTTCTGGCACATGCGGAAGCATTTGTTGTCTTCTGAAGCCAAATATTCACTTTTTAATTGGTAGTCATTATGAGCAGAGCTGCCCAGTGAGTGGGAGTGAAACACTCAGATACCACGGTTCATAGGAAATTGGTCTAGTCACTTTTCCCTTCCCGAGGCTGCGACAGGTGTTTCCTGCTTGTCCCACCTCCCAGGCTCTTCTTGGCCTGCTCGCTGACTCAGCTTCATTTCAGCCTCTCAGCCTCCTTCACCAAAAGGGGTGAGAGGTTTCTGTTGGAAGTGCCAGGCACAATAGTAACTCTTTTTGTATAGTATGTCTTGTGCTGTGCTTTTGACATTCTCTGTAAAGCACCTCCAAGCTACTTTCTATGAAGGATAAATATTAAAAGACTAGAATTCTTGTAAAATTGAGACATTACATAAAAAAAAAAAATATGAGGAACTCTACACAGGGCACAGTTATTTGGGGAAAGTAATGCTTTTGCGGGGAATGAGTCGATCCCTGTGTGTAGTCACCATTTCGAATCTTCTCGTTCACTTTGGGCATGTTAGTCATTTCTATTCCCAAATACTTACATTCTATTGACAAGATTCTGTGACTTGATTTTATCAGTAATTGGTGGTAGCTGAATAAGAGATGATGAATGTTATTTCTAAAACTAGACTATTATATTTTAAAAGATTTTAATGCATTCCCTTCTATCTTTGGTCTTAATGTGTCATGCCCTTTGTTTATAATATTACTTATGACACTTTGGTGGGTTTTGATGACCTCTTGAACCACTTCATTAATTAAAACAACCTGCATGAAACAGAGACTTTCTGACTATGTTATGTATTTGTTTTTCTATATGTTTATATGCATGCTTTTTAAAAAAAGCATTTGACTAAGATAGTGAGAACTATTATAATTTAGTTATAAGTATTTTCATTGTAGAAGACCTTGTGGAAGGATGGATAAAATGGTAGATTTTCCTTTCTTGTAAAGACAAATTAAAATGGTAAGTTAAGTGTTCACCTGAACATTATAAGTAACATCAGAAGTGTTTTTGTTTTTTACCTCTCCGTAGCCATATGATGTGAATTTACAAGTAACGTCGGTGTTGTCTAGACTTTCCCTCTTCCCTCACCCACACATACATGAATACCTGTTGGATCCTTACGTGAACCTTGCTTCTGGCTGTAGATCTCTCTTCTCTGTAATTGTCAGGGTGAGTCACTAGTTTTGTTGTATTCTTTAGAATTGATAAACCTGTTCAGTTAACCTCTTAATATCATTGCATGTAATCAGTGTCATGTAAAGAAAAATACTTTATATCTACTGTTTGGAAGTAATGATTTGACTATAAAATATGGAGGAAAAAATTCATTCTTTTAAATGACATATACATGTAACTTTCATCTGTAAGGAATAAACAGGAGTTCTTTGTCAAAGACGGTTATGTGACTAGTGAAAGGTGACATTCTTGATTTAATAAAAGGAAGTAGAGTTTGGTTTTTTTTTTCATCCTGAAAATCCCTATGTAGTTGGTTTTAGGAATCGACTTCCTTTTGTCTCTGGGATGCAGGTTGTTGGAGACCTTATGGTGAGAATCCAGCGTATTCAAGACTTTACTCCCAAGCTTTTATTAGTCAGAAAGCGGTTACTTGGTTTGGAACCGGAAGGTCCTATGTAAGTCAGCTCTACATTTTTATTTTTAACCTAAGCATTCCACCAGAACGTGACAGCCTGCTCACACCTTGAGTTGATGTATTCCCTGCTTGTCCCTGACCAGGATCGACCACATCACCTTGCTGGAGGGCGTGATCGTGTTAGAAGAATTCTGTAAGGAGCTGGCGGCCATCGCATTTGTGAAATACCATGCTTCCTCCACAGCCTGAATAGTACCTTTTAAGTAACTAAGGGAACAGAACTATTGTGTACATTTCATCAAAACAGACTCAGTTCCACCCACTGAAGAGAGGATAAGAAGCCTTTTCAAATGAAGCATTGCTGTAAACTGGACAGAACCATTACAAACCCGCTGAGTGGACAATTTCAGTAAAATGCTGTATAATATTGTTTTCATTGGCTTTATCATAAAGGTTCTACATATAAACTTGCACGTCCTTTAATCCAGGATACAATCAAAGGAACTTCAGGAAATAAGCATTTCCAATGCCTGTGTGAAAAGCTGCAAAATTTCTGATGTCATGACTTTGATATTTCTGTTATTTTAATATCCTTTTAGGCAGCACGGCATTTTGACATTCTCTGGAACTCCGATGCTTATATTCTTTCGGATTAATAAGTAGCAAAAAAAACCCCTAATTTTATAACTTTTTAAGATCAGCATTCTTATCAAACAAAGTATGAAAAAAACTGTAAATGAAAAAAATACAATTCAGGGACCATCCAATGAGTTAATAATAGGAGATAAAAATGTGTAGAGAACCATTGACTTTCTTCCGCTTTTCTAAGAATAACAATTTAATACGATGATAAAATTATTGATTAATATATGTATATTTTTAAAGAAATGTTCTTTTACTCTTGTGCACATAGCCATGGAAGTGATTAATTTTCATGGACAGGTCCCAGTTTATTTAAACCACGTCATTTTTGCAATAACGTTGAATTTGGGCTCACCGTCGTTAGTGCTTGCTAAAATAGTATTGTGTTAAGCTAATGAACATGTATTGGGTTGAGAACCTTTTTTATCCTCTTTGAAAATTTTTTCATAAAATTGCTCTATGATTCAATTTTTCTCACTGTAGCGCATGGTAGTGTCTGTGTGGGGAACTGACTGATGATTAACTCCTAGTCAGCCATCAAAACGCCAGTGGCCTCCCTAATGTTTACATTTTTTTTTTAAATTTTGTTCAGTCTTTTGTTTTAAATTATTCTAAAGAGAGTTGAAAACAAACAGACAAACCAGTCTGTCCTGTTTACATGTTAGAGAATCTGGGTAAATTGGGGGTGTGCGTGAATGGGTTTGTTTGTCGTAGGAACGGGCACAGCCTGCGTGGACTGATTTACAAAGCAGCGTTTGCTAACCCACTCTCTGTTCCCCTTGTTCGTGAGGCTGATCACTCAAATACATTGTTTTTACACTTCCTCTTTTTTTGAGTTGAAATGTTAAGCAGCAGCACTTTCCTCTCTATTTACTGATCCCTGGGCAAGCGGACCCTCAAACTTCTGGCCTCGGAGGAGCCACCGTCGCCGCCCCTCTAAGAAGCTGCTGGAAGCAGCGTGTTGCGTGGCTACGGCGCGCGGCCTATGCATGGGGTCGTGTTGGGTGCCCACTGCTCGTTGTGTGGTCGTCGTCTTTCTGATTTATTTTAGTTAGTTTTTGCTATTTATTAAGAACAAAATGTCAAAAGATTATGGATAGTCTTGGCTTTTAGAACACCTACCATTGTTAACAACGAAAAGACTAAATTTTGAATTTAATGCAAATCTTTGTTAGCACCTTCTAAGAAATCTATTAAGCAAAACAATGGAAAAACGAAAGCGGGAGGTAGTGACTTTGTGCATGCGTTTCTTTAAATGATTTTTAATGAAGGGAAAACAGTAAGTTTGCTGTATTTATTCATCAGTCCATGCAGAGAACACTGCAACATCCTCAGTTTTAGGTGTAGTTATCGTCTACTTTGATGTAGGTGTATTTAAAATAAGGCGTTAAAGGATATTAGATATTTCTTAATGTTTTCATAGTGTTGAATAGGTGTAATAGCAGTGATGTGACCTTTCATACCAAATACTGTTTTATCTTTGATTTCACAGTGGGACCCTATAGCTAATCTATGAAACCAAGCTCAGAAAAGCTTTAACTCTTACATTTTTTTGTGTGTATGCTGCTTTTTAAAACATATTTTTCTAAGTTATTGTAATAACTTTGATTTGTAATCAACTAAAGCTTAAGGTATGTTTTGTTTCTCTTCTCAGTTTCTCTCTCTTCTTCTTCTCTCTCCCTCCCTACCTTCTTTCCTTTCTCTTTCTTTTATTCATGTTGAGTTCAGACCTAGAGCCAGCACAAGTTCTCACAGTGAGTTGGATTTGTTAGTGAAACATTGTACTACGTTGTTAGTCTTTTTCTTACTGTCTTTCAGATGCTGAATATTTCTATTGCTTGGTACTTGCAACACAGTGACTAAAATGTACTGTGTTGGGTAGAAAGTGCCATCTTAACAATTGATTGCCACAGGCAAATTCCAAACTCAATTTTAGCCTCGCTTCACATTGGCATAAATAGATACTCACATTTTTTTTTAATCTTTCTAACAGTATAGTCTTTGGGGTTATTTTTAGTAATGAGCCACATTCTTTACTTGATAGAACTCAGATTTGTTCTTAGGCAATTATTGTAGTGTTCACATTATAACTATGTAATGTTCTCATGTCTGTGCAATATGGAAGCTATGAGCAGACTCATAGCTTTTTGATTTAATTGTACATCATTGTGTGTGCACATATGTGTATATATATATGTGTGTGCGTGCGTGTGTGTGTGCGTGCGTGTGTGTGTGTGTGTGTGTATATATATAAAAGGACCAAAATCCTTAGCTTGCTTACACTGTTGCTAGTGTAAAGATTGTTACACTTAATTTACAGGGCACAAATTATGGAATTACCTTCATAATCCATGGTAACCTATTTCCATAAATTATTGCATTAATATACAATTACCATTTAATTATGAAGTTCTTAGGTATTGACAGAAGTTACAGTGAAGTGCTAAAACCACAAAATATATGGTAATTATATTTTGGGTTGTACAATTAATCAAAATATGCATGTCACTGTGACACTTGATGTGTTCAAACATGATAGATAATCATATTTCTGGGCCCTGTAAAATAGTGTTACTGTAATACTCTGTTTGCCTATTGCCTTGTTTACATTAAACAAATGACATTTGGTAAATTTTTCTATTGAACATTGTGTAGGTTACTGACAGTGTTACCAAGGCCTGGAGTTCCTGGGCCACCTGTGAAGAAACCCTTCCGCCGGTGATTGTGTACCTACGGTCTCTTCAAAGGAAGTTGTGATCAAGTCCAACTTTTTGTGCTAACAATGCATGCAGGACTAAGAGGGATAATCTAAAAATAAATCATGTAATTTAAACAAAATGTCTTGTCTTGTAGAATTCTAATTGGAAACATCTTATTCACTGGTAAGTTGAAAACAGTAATTCGTAACCCACAAAAGGGTAGGACACAGCAATCAATAGGTTGCTACAGCATTGATTCCAGGAAAGAAGAAGAAAGAATATATCAGGATATTTGTAGAGGGGCAGGTGCGGTTTGAAAAATTTCCCTGGGTAAGCCTCATACATATTGGAACATTATCCACCCCGCTCCTCAATCCCTTCCCAAAAGGCAGGAGTGTTTGTACAAGTCTTAGAAAAATAGTTCAGTGTAAACATTATTTCTCCTATATTTGTAACACATATAAAAACTGTTTAGCATTTAAAACAATTAGACTCTAGGCTTATTCCATTCATTTGAATATTTGCCAAAACCCCTTAATTGAAAACGGAAAGAAACATGTACTACATGGCATAGCTAGAAAGAGGGAACTCTAGTTATTAATCCCACGTGCCTGTGAGCCAGTATCAATAAAAATAGTTTTAGACAAATCCAGAGGACAGCAGGTTGAGAGGATGCAGGGAGGGAAGGTTAGGCAATGAGGAGTTGAAATTGCCCTCCTTGCCTTGAGCTACATCAAAAGGAAACTGCATCCGAGGAATGTATAATCGGATCCCCCATCCAAACACCTGGTTCCAACGGCTGTTAATCCAGAATTTTGCAGCGTTTCATCTGCAAAACTAATTATATCAAGGGAATCTAGAGAATTAATGTAAAATTATTATGGTTGACATTTTATTAAGAGTAACGCTCAGGTAAAAGCCATACCACTTCCTCAAAATATAATCAAGCAAACATACTTCATGACAGTTTGATGCCAAAGGAGCCATGAAAGAAATGGAATAGGTTTTAGTTGGTCTTAAGCCCATTAGGAAAGTTGGTGCCTATGGGCCTAGCTCATGGGAGACTGGTTGACCACTTGATAGGGCCCACTGTCCACATCAGGGAGCTGCATCTAGGCTCCTTCATGTACACTCACTACTGTGATTTGACAGTTGTGTGTGCATTAGTTTTGTGTTACAGTAGCATTTCTAAAAAGGTATCAGAAATAGGACCCGCCTAGGTCATCCAAATACAAAATGAAACAATAATTGGGTTTATTCAGCAAACATTTTTTGAGAACTTTCTGTGAACCAAGGTTTAAGGCATTGGAAAACAATGAGAAGCGACCTGTGCCCCAAAGAACTCCAGAGTCTCAGGGAGGGCCCAGTGTGTGCGCACAAACACATCACGCCGCACAGTAGCGAGCGTGGTCCGAGGAACAGGGCCCAAGGGAGCGAGGGCGCAGGGAGGGCCGAGGAGTGTGGCAGGTCATGGAAAGCGGAAACCTGCAACTCAAGTCTTGACTGGATTACGTTCTTACTTCTGAGTATGGAAATGCCAGGTATCCTGAGAAGTCATAACCACAAAGTCAACTCAGTAAAAAAAAAGAAAGTGGGAGAATGCTCTGTAGCCTATTTACCATGATTAACTCTTTCACCTTCATTCTGAGATTGACATACAGCACCAGCCCAAACAGTTGGGCTTTGGGGCACATATTTTCTCA